GTACCCCCTTTACACTATTCTGTATACTCTTTCATCAATAGTTATTGTTTATTTTCTGTCACTTTTCCAGGTTAAGTTGTTTATTAATGTATCCCCAGCTCCTAGAAGACAGCGTGGCAAGTGACAGGAATGCCTTATTGCTGACTGAGAGATAATGCATGCTGAAATTACTTTAAAGAATATAAATGTATTTATTAAATAATTCAATGAAATACTGATTGAGTTATCAATCTGAAACGGTCCTCATGTTTAAATAGATTCTCTCAACCTTGTCAGGGAACATAATCCAAAAAAGCGAAACAAAGCAAGTGACTGGTTTAATGACTTAAATGATGAATGGAACCATGACTAAGTCGTCACACCACTGCTTATGCTTTAAATAGTTCACTCGGCTCTCTGCTTGTATGTGTGGCACTGAAATTCCTGTCCTGTTTCTTCTATAAATAAGGTGACTTTTCTGTGTTTTTTCAAGGTCTTACTTCATTTTTGTTTTCCTAAAGTATGATTATGATAAGTCTAGGTGTTGTGGTCTTTTTTTTTTTTTTTTCCAATCCTGCTCGGTGTTCCTGAGCTTCCTAAATCTGTGATATGGTGTTTATCACTAGAATTTGAAAGGTCGCAGTCATTATTACTTCAAAAATTTCTTTCTTCTTTTCTGTTTTGTTGATGTTGCTGTTGCTGTAGGTCTCCTTGCATTTCAGATTGGGCAGTTTCTATTGGTCTATTTAAAGCTCACTTCCATCTTTGACCATATCCAATATACTAATGAAATCATCTAAAGAGTTGTTCAGTTCTTTTGCAGTGTTTTTGCATTTGAATCCTTCATCTGAATTTCTATCTCTCTGCTTACCTTGCCCATCGTTTTTTGCATGTTATCTACTTTTCCCTTTAGAGCTTGGAATGTATTAACCAGAGTGATTTTAAATTCCCTATCTGGTAATTCCATTGTTTATATCATACCTGAGTCTGATTTTGATGCTTACCTTTTCTCCAGAGACTATATTTTGTCGCTTGTTGGTGTCTCTTTTAATCTTTTTGTTCAAAGTCAGTGTGTTGTATTGGGTAGGAGAAAAGAGATGAATAGACAGTGAGTGTGAGATCTGAAGTTCATCTATCTATCTAGGATTCAGTCTGTGTTTAATACTTGTTATAGCTGTAAGTGGCAGAAGCTTCAGATTTCTCTAGTATCCTTAACTTTTGTTTACACTCTTGGAAGCTGAAGAGAGAGAAGTGTCCTTTCCTAAGGTTAAATAAAACTCTGGCAAAGTCTTTTCTCCCACAGAGAGAGAATGTGTTACACAGGAGATTCTGGGCATGCTTCCCTAGAACCGCTCTCCCTTTCCCTTGAGAACCACTGGGGCATCATTCTTGGATTTTCCCTAAAAGAAACTGGTGGAATCCCTACCAGGCCAAGTCTGTGATGTGTGAGGTATCCCCAAGACTGTGGCCCCCAAGAAGCTTTCATACACACGCTACTATATGCTCAGCCTTCAGAAATTTCTCCAGTTTTATGATTAAA